GCGGGGCTCGAACTCACGGACCGCGAGATCGTGACCTGGCTGAAGTCGGACGCTTAACCGACTGCGCCACCCAGGCGCCCCCCCTGAATCCTTTTTTAATGAAAATTGCAATGCTCCCTGGAGGCAGATATGCACCTTCCTTTTGCATCAATGATTTATGCTATAATGAATCATTGTTCTCTCTCTTCTCTGTTTCTGGAGAGAGAGAGCAAGCAAATAACAGAGAGCACTATGTGCAGGTTCTGCCCTAGAGATAGGACTTCCTTCATATCCTTCTCTCAATTAAACCTCACAATACGTGTCTTAGGTATATACCACTATTAGCTCCATTTTATAAGTAAAGAAATTGAATCTTACAGAGGCATAGAAACTTACCCAAGGTCGCCAAAAAATGAATGAATGTGGAGATTCAGTGACTCTTGCAGTGACCATCTGTTCATTTCCTCAGAGAGTCGGGCACTGGGGCCATCAGGCAGAGAAAAGAGCTATTTGTGATGATGAGAAATTGAAAGCATTGAATTAAAATTCACCCCAGGTGAATTTCCTCAGACACTGAGAGAGTGTTCATGCCCAGATGTTACAGAAACCATTTCACTGGACTCTGTCCGATCGGGAGTTCAAAGGACTAATTCACCTTCTACACTCTGTTTCTTAAGTCAGAGCTGGGAGCCTATAGGATATGTGTAATATAAATGCATCTTGTGCCTACACTTTAGATCTCAACTTCACAGGTGAGAGGACTTCATTCTCATGCTTGTTCTGCCCTGCACCTTGTCCAGTGGGCCAGTCCCAACTTAATCCTTCAAGATTAGGCTCCTGTCATGACCTTTAGAAAACTTTTCCAGACCCCCCATGGCTGCACCAGGGAATGCTTTTCCCTGCTCTGCCAGCGCCTATTGGATGCCAGTCTCATCACATTTGTCACACTCTCCTGTCCATATTAATTTTTTTTATCTGTCTCCTTCACCAGATTCTAGGCTCCCTGAGATCAAGTTCATGCCTGGTACGTAAAAGATGCTCAAAAATGCGTGAACTAACAACTTTGTATTTGTTTTTTCCCCACTCAAAAGCAATTGCAAGGATTAGTGGGGGTTTTTTTTTTAATGTTTATTTATTTATTTATTTTGACAGAGAAAGAGAGAGAGAGAGCATGAGCAGGGGAGGAGCAGAGAGAGAGGCAGAGAGAGGATCCCAAGCAGGCTCTGTGCTGATAGCAGATGTGGGCTCAAAACCACGAACCGTGAGATCATGCCCTGAGCTGAAATCAAGAGTCAGATGTTTAACCAACTGAGTCATCCAGGTGCCCCCACATGGACTAGTGTTCTTAAGGAAGAACCAATTAAAGTCACTTATGACTGTGGAATAAAAGCACAGGGGTGGGGGGGCTTCATTAACCTTCTGTCAAGACTAGTTAAGTGCCAAGAGGTGAAAACATCCTAAGGCAGTATACCAGTCTATTGCTATATAATAAATTACTCTACACTTCATATATAATCTTTGTGTCCGTGGTCAGGAATTTAGACAGGCCATATCTCTAGATGTGATGTCTGGGGCTCATTCACTCACATGTCTGACAGTTGATACTGGCTCCTGCCTCGGGGCCTAGCTGGGGCTATCAGCCAGAACACCCCACAGATGGCCTTTCAATGTGACTTGAGCTTCCTTATAACATGGCGGTTGACTTCCAAGGGCAAATATCCTGAGAGAGCAAGGGCCAGGCCAAAACCACTTTGTATTTATTACCTGAGCCCTGAAATCACATCGTATCACTTGTGCCACGTCCTATTCGTTGCAGCAGTTACAAAGGTCCTTCCCAATTTAAGGGAGGGAACAAAGACTCCATCTCTCAGTGATGGAATGTCAGCATCACATTATAAGTAGAGCCTGTGGAATGGGATACATACTGGTGTGGCCATCTTTGAAAAGGGCAACCTGCCACAAGCAGTCATGGGGAAAAGGCCAAAGTCCATATAATAGAATATGTATAAAAACCCCTTATGTGAGATAAGAGATGTGAATCAAGGCAGATGGAGTTCATGAAGGCAGTGTGTTTTTCCTTTGCTGCCAGAAGGCAGGTAATTATAATTCTATCAGGAATGCCAATAGGGAGAGGAAGATTTAACAACCTGTGACAGAAATCTGGAATGTTAGAGAGTCCTGTTTCCAATTATGAGGTCTACATCGTCTTCTTGCAAGGATGGGGCAGCTGTGGTTGCCAGAGTGACACATCTGTTGAGGTCATCTACAGACATCACCTCATTCCTGGCTCACTGTCACTCCAACACACTCTTGTCATAGTCCCTAATTATTTCATTATCCAAGCTGTTGATATTCTGATCTCTCAGCTTCTTGACATCCTCTGTTCCAATGACCTTGTCCACCAACCTTCTCAGTTACTCACTTCCGTGGTCATTGGGTCATACCCTTGACTTTATCACCACCTCTTATTGTAGCCGTCTATAATCCCTGTCTAAGGTATCTATTTCAGCCCCAACAATTCTTTGATGCCACACGAACCTGCAGTCCCTTGATCCTACCGTCCTTTCACTGCCCCTAACCTGCTCATGAGCTCTTTCCCCACCCACTTAAATCAGAAGTCTGTCATTGGAATCACCTCTTTGCATATGCCCTCCACTCCCTCACCGTCTCCCTCTTCCGTGTGTTCTCCTAACAAACCCAACCCTGATTATTTTTTGTTTGTTTGGTTGGGTTTTTTTTGTTTTTTTTCCAACCCTGATCATTGCCCCCCACCACACCCTCCATAGCTGCCATCCTACAGGGACTGATCGCACTCTAAATTCATGACAGTAACCCCAGGTGGGTCTGCACTGGTGCCTGCAGTCAGGCTTTCCTTGAAATGGGGAAGCAGAAATGCTACCTACCTCAGGCTGCTCGTCTGCCCCAGAGCTGTAACCTCATATCTTTGGGTCAGAGCCCATCATCTGCCAGGCATGTGGCATTGCTGCTCAGGCCTTAATGCACACTCAGCCAACCTTCAGTAGCTGAAGAAATTCTCTTCAAAATAACAGCTTCTCTCTGCTTTCTGGTGGCTTCAAAACCAAAGTCTGGTGATGTGACATCCTCTCTGAGGGCACCCTTTCCATTTCCGCTTCAATTTTCTGTACACTCAGCGTTGCTGAGAGCGCTATTTTGATGTCTTCTATTCTTAGCACCAAAGCACAAAGTCACATATGCAGATAGACCAAAATTAGAATAACAGCACATTGATTTTCCAAATTCTTTGAGAACTCACGAACACTTGAGGGCTTGGGGGTGGAAAAGGCTGTTACCAAGTCACTCTGGGGTGAGATGCCTGGAGACTTTGACACTATGGAGATGTGTCACCTTGGGCAAGTCCCTTTAGCTGTCTGGGTCCCAGTCTTCTCATCTGCAAAGCGAGGGGACTGGATGAGGTAATTCCTAAGGCCTTTTCTAGATCTTTCTGACTTTGTCACAGGATGCTATGACATTCACAGTTGGCCCTGTTTTTTTCTGCCTCTGCTTCATTCATCCATCCATCTTTCAATCAAGTGAAGGCTCGCTTCATGCTCAGAAGGTACAAAGATAAAAAGGACACAATTCATACCCTCTTGGAGCTTGATATAATCCTATGGTTATGTCTTAAAACAACAAATGTTTGGGGCGCCTGGGTGGCTCAGTCGGTTGAGCGTCCGACTTCAGCTCAGGTCACGATCTCACGGTTCGTGAGTTCGAGCCCTGCGTCAGGCTCTGGGCTGATGGCTCAGAGCCTGGAGCCTGCTTCCGATTCTGTGTCTCCCTCTCTCTCTGCCCCTCCCCCATTCATGCTCTGTCTCTCTCTGTCTCAAAAATAAACAAACATTAAAAAAAATTTTTTAAAACAACAACAACAACAAATGTTTTGAAGAAAGTATGTTCAAAATGTGATAGGAACAAAGTAGAAAAGGAGATCAGGGGGGTAAGGGGGAAGAAAAGAAAAGAAAAGGAGATTAGTTCTAGCTGTGGAGGCTACAATCCTTCAGAGGAAGTGGCATTGGAGAGTAAGTATTCTTAAACAACTTTGCCAGGATGTGGGGGAAGCAGGGACACAGAGGACATTGAAGCTGTGAGAAAGGTCCCAAAGAAAGCATGAATCTGGGGGACAAATTCCAAAGTTTTCCATGTGCCTGATCAGTAGATACATGAGGTCCACAGGTCAGGGCGTGAGGCTGGAAAGAGATTGGAACCTTTTCTCTTTGTTTCTTCTCATTTAGTAAAAATCTCATTTAGAAGTTTCTCAGTTTTAAGTCAGGGCTTCTCTGCCATTCTCGAAGTCTTACCCCCTCTCTAGGCTCTCCTTTGTGTTATAGATGCATCCGCAAATTTGGCCTGTTTATTTATGCCATTGTCCTGAAACCATTCAAGTATTTCATTTGTTGAGTATTTCCATGTCATGTATAGGCAGCAAATAATAGCTTCATTTTACAGAGAGAAAAGCTAACATTGATTTGTAGATTGCTCAGTATCAGGTAAACAGACCTGAAATAGACCCTAGAACCCTCCTTCATGAACATTCCATGACTTTATTTTTACCTTGAAGTCAAGAGAAATAAGTAATCTTGACTGACTTGTGCAATATTACATTGGGACTGTCATAAGGGTCAGATTTTGAGTCAAGTATGGCTTTAAGGAACTAAATATTGTGAATACCATATAAAGTTAGGGAGGAAAGCATAACAGAAATTAATACTCAGAATATGAGTTGGTAAGACTACAGTCTTCTTGAGCCCATGAAAACAGCTGCTGCTTTTTCCCGGACTAAGTTTTTCATAAGGAAACATTTTGCCTTTTTAAAAATCAGTGTGAGGGGCACTTGCATGACTCAGTTGTTGGGCCTCCGACTTTGGCTCAGGTCATGGTCTCACAGTTCATAGGTTCAAGCTCCATGTTGGGCTCTGTACTGACAGCTCAGAGCCTAGAGCCTGTTTCAGATTCTGTGTCTCCTTCTCTCTCTGCCCCTCCCCTGCTGGCCCTCTTTCTCTCTCTCTCAAAAATAAACATTAAAAAAATTAAAAATTAAAAAAAAATCGGTGTGAGAGGTGGTTGGTCACCCAAACTTCACAAGACAGTAGCACACAGGTAAGTAACTACCATCCAGGATTTGGCCTTATGGCCTGAGGGACCCAAAAAAACAACTATTCATTCTCCCAAAACTGATCAGGGTTTAAGCACGCTCTTTATATTGTGTCTCTAGCACCATCTACTGGGAAACAAAGTGACTTTACTTGGATTCTTAGTTGAAAGATGCAGAAACCCAAGTCAGGTAGCAAAGAGGAGAGAGAGAGGAAGAAGCTTAGCAAATTCTAAGAAACAGAGGGTTACGTATATTATATTGAAGTTTCTTCTATAAAGATGTTACCACTAAAACAAAATTACAAACTGTCTCATTTATCAGAAAGACACATATATACACACCATATAGTAAAAAGATTTCAAAAAGTAAACAACTAGAATTCATGAACACAAAAAGCATACCATAAAATGTAATGACAGACTAAGAATACTTAGAACATGTATATGTCATAGTAATGCCATAAAACGCCTCTATTAAACAATAGTCTCTCAGATTGAATCACAAAGGAAACCCCAAGGGAAGGCTGTGTATTAACCAAGTCGTACAGAAAGGTTGAAAACATGAGATTTCAAAAGCAAACCAAGCAAATAAAAGCCAAATGAAAGCAGGGGGTCTCAGTCTTAACATCAGTAAAGGCTGATCTCAGGACAGAAAGCAAGACACTTTGTAATGATAAAGGACAGAATTCACAAGGTGCCTGGGTGGCTCTGACTCTCGATTTCGGCTCAAGTCGACCTCGCATGAACTGCACCTTGAACTCCACATCAGGCTGTGCGCTGACAGCACAGAGCCTGCTTGGGATATTCTCTCTCTGCCCCTCCCCTGCTCTGTCTCTCACTCTCTCTCAAAATAAATAAATAAACTTAAAAAAAAAAAAGGATGAAATTCACAATAAAAATTCACCATATCTGAGACCGTAAAGAAAACCTCAGGTAATTTCACAAAATACGAGTAATACAGCCAATGCTTGACCTAGAAATGCTTTAACTCTTAATAATTCTTGGATCAAAAGGGAACTCAAACCCTAAAACTAGCAATACCTAGAAAATAAGTAAATAATATATCATAATTAAGTATAATGGAAATATTTACTTAATACATATTAGAATATATAATAAATGGGAATATGGTGTTATCATTATATATAACGGAAACTCCTACATGCGATATCAAGCCTATTGTTCAGAAGAACACTGAAGCACTAAATACTTTGACTAATCCAAAAAATGTGAAAATAAATGAATTAGGCATCTAATGCAAGATATTTGAAAAAGAATAACAAAATAGGGTCACCTGGGTGGCTCAGTTAGTTAGGTGTCCAACTTCAACTCAGATCATGATCTCATGGTTTGTGGGTTCAAACCCTGCATCAGGCTGTGTGCTGACAGCTCAGAGCCTGGAGCCTGCTTCAGATTCTGTGTCTCCCTCTTTCTGTCCCTCCCCTTCTCTCTCTCTCTCTCTCTCTCAAAAATAAATAAAATATTAGGAGTGCCTGGGTGGCTCAGTCGGTTGAGCTTCTGACTTTGACTCAGGTCACGATCTCACAATTCGTGGGTTCAAGCCTCGCGTCAGGCTCTGTGCTGACACCTCAGAGCCTGGAGCCTGCTTTGGATTCTGTGTCTCCCTCTCTCCCTTCCCTTCCCCTGCTTGTGCTGTCTCTTTCTCTCTGAAAAATAAATATTAAATTAAAAAAATAATAATAATAAATAAAACATTAAAAAAAGAGTAACAAAATAAACCCAAGAGAACAAAATGAAAATTAATACAAATAAAAGCAGAAATTCTAATTTTGAAAAGAGGAGGAAAAATGTAGCACTAATACATAAATCCAAGAGCTCCTTCATTGGAAGGGGGAAAAACCCACAAAAAATAGATAAAGCATCAGCCTACCTACTCAATGCACAAAGTTAGAAATGAGCATAAGCAGGGTGCCTGGGTGGCTCAGTCAGTTAAGCATCCGACTTCGGCTCAGGTCATGATCTCACAGCTTGTGAGTTCGAGCCCCGCATCAGGCTCTGTGTCGACAGCTCAGAGCCTGGAGCCTGCTTCCGATTCTGTGTCTCCCTCTCTCTCTGCCCCCCCTCCACTCGTGCTCTGTCTCTGTCTCTCAAAATTAAATAAATCTTAAAAAAATAAAAAAAAGAAAGAAAGAAAAGAAATGAGCATAAGCAACTAACCACAGAGAGATGAAATTGAAAGGATCATAAGTTACTGTCTTCCTTGACTCTACCAATAAATGAAAGTAATATAGATGGGATGCATAAGTTTCTAGAAAAATATAAATTTGCAATTATGACACCAGAAAACAAATAGTAAGTAGATTATCATAGGAAAAATAGAAATAGGAATTGGCACATAGAATTGTCTAATGAAGTACGCAGGAATAAATTTAGTAACAACCTTGAAGACAAATTGAGTGGAAAGATTAAGGTGGAAACAGGCTATATTGCTGTGTGTGTGCATGGGTGTGCGCTTACATGCTTGGATATCCTTGTATTCTCTCTGGAAGGGTGCGAGAGGAACAAGTGATGGTGGTTGCTTCTGTTGGAGGAAACCGGATCTTCAGGGAACAAAGATAAGAGATTTTTTTCATTGTATAGTATTTTGTACCTTTTAACTTCATTACCTTTAAAATTGGTTACATGTACAAATATTCCCCATTCAAAAGTTCTTTTTCATATAAGCAGAATCAAGGCAAAGGAAAGAGATGGTTTTCAAGGATGTCTTCGAAAAGAATGCTACTTGGGGTACCTGGGTGGCTCTGTCGGTTGAGTGTCCGATTTCGGCTCAGGCCGTGATCTTGAGGTTCGTGGGTTCGAGCCCCACATCGGGTTCTGTGCTGACAGCTCAGAGCCTGGAGTCTGCTTCAGATTCTGTGTCTCCCTCTTTCTCTGCCCCTCCCCTGCTTGTGCTCTCTCTCAAAAAAATAAACATTAAAAAAATTTAAAAAAGAATGCTACTTAATTTTTCCTAACACTGACTGGTGAGAGGATTCTTTTGTTCAACCAAACTCCCTTGGTTGAACAATGGACACCAGATGCTAGAATGGCATTGGCCAGGCCTCTGTGTTCCCCTTGGGTGTTTTGGACCCCAGGCATCCTCACAGCTCTGTGTGAACTTAGACTCCAGTCCTCATGTACCAGGAAGACTATGTTTCTGAACAGCAGCTCTGAATTTAAGAAGAGGATGCCCTCGGGGCAACTGGGTGGTTCAGTCGGTTAAGCAGCCAACTCTTGATTTTGGCGCAGGTCATGATCTCACAGTCGTGAGATGGAGCCCCTTGTCAGGCTCTGCATTGACAGTGTAGAGCCTGCTTGGGGTTCGTTCTCTCTCTCTCTCTCTCTCCCTCTCTCTCTGTGTCTTTCCCCCACACCCTCTGTGTGTAAAAAAAAAAAAACATAAAAAAAAAAAAAAAAGGATGCCCACTTTCACCCAAAGATAGGAGATTAATGTTTCTTTTAGTATTTGGCAATACACGAAAGCAGAACTAAATGCTTTGAGTGGCTAAAAGTTGGTTCTCTTTTCACTTGTTTAAATCTTTTTAAGGTAAGGTACAAGTTCTTGATTTTTCTTAGCGTCCTAAGATTTCAGACCCACTTTGCATGCTACCTCTCTCCCCTGAAACTAGTGTAGAAACCAAGTTTGTAAAACCTCCCCATCTGACCACATGAAAGGAAAAAGTAATTCTACCCCTAAAAAAAGAGTTATGTTAACTAACTGAGCATTTGTATTCACCTTTAAAATACATGATACAGCTCTAGGACAAAAGAAAACCTTTAGAGAAAGGAAATTGGGCTTCCAGCTACGGAATGAATAAGTCACAGGAATAAAAGGTATAGCCTAAGGAATCGAGCCAGTGGTATTGTAATAGCTCTGTATGATGGTGACAGATGATAGCTAGACTCACGGGGAGTGCAGTATAATGTATTGAGGGGTTCAATCACTACATTGTACACCTGAAACTAATGCAATATTGTGTGTCAACTGTGCAAGTAAAAAAAAAAAAAAAAAAAATTAAATGCAGAAACAACTGGATCATGGTGTGAGGCCCTGAAACCGAGTCCCTGTCCTCTTTCAAGAAAGCCTGGCCAGAGTACTCCAGCCCCCTGCCCTTCTACCTGCCCCTTCCCTCCAGGAGAAGTTGCTCCAGTACAAGGAACTGCCTTTGACCTGAGGAAGCCGGTGGAGCTTGGAAAACACCTGCAGGAGTTCCGTATCCACGGCTTTGACCACAATTTCTGTCTGAAGGGATCTAAAGACAAGCACTTTTGTGCACGGTAGGTGCTTTTTTTCCCTGACTGCCTGTGTAGGGAGGAAGAGATCTCACCTCCTAGGTGAGGAGTTTTTCCTCTGGCCACCTCGATAGCATTTACTACGCTGCAGGGACCATATACTACATCCCTGTCTTTTCAAAGCTCCTGTTCCGCGGAGCAGCACCACCGAAGGTCTCTCCCCCACCCCCACCACTGCCATGTCTCTTCCCCCGCCCACCCTGTGCTCCCACCTGGCATCCTGTCTCTCTTTGCTCCCTCTCTCCCCATCGGAGCCTGTTCTTTCAGGCCCACTCTTTTGTTAGAAGCCCTAATTCCCCTGGACTGAAGTCAGCTCTGCTTTCCTTGACCTTCAGGAGCCCCGTTTGTGATGCATGGAAAGTCAGAGGCTGCACCTCTCCCAGGGCGCCCACCACCAGCAGCCTGGCCTGCGAGGCATTTGTGTGCACTCTCTCCTCCCCGCTAACCTCCCAGCTCCTCCTGCTACCTCTGTGCATCCCCAGCTCTGCCCGAGCACCTCACCCCACACGTGGCAATAGCAAATGCACGTCTGTAGAATAAATGGATTTTAAATGAGGCAGAGAAAATGATTCCAACTCTAATGGAAACTTCAAAAGCCTTCTCTCCCTTAGAGCCCCAGTCCCTGTGTTCTTCCAGATGGAGTCCACTCTTCTCCTCTGGCCCATTTCTCTCTCTAGTCTGGAGGCCCCCCCCCGCCTACTCTCCATTATTCAAGTCCTGGTCCTCCTCTTCCCAGAACCTCTTGATTGACTACATTGTTGGGATGTTTTACCTCGTTTTTCTAAAAAAAGGAAACCGTGAATCCAGCAGAAACTGACAGCACCTCTGTTCTCGGGGGGAGATCTGACAAAAAAGCCCAGCCTGCTCTAGCCCCAGGGAAGGGCGACAGTTTAATTTAGACAAGCGTCTCTTCTCTTTCAAAAGACACAGCTGGTGGCTTTCCCAGGTCAAGCAGAGAGCATCAGCTCTTCCTGAGAAAGAATCTCAGCTCCTCCGGAATCTGACAACTGTGTCTCTGCAGCCTGGCCGCCCCCCCGCATGCGCGCGCGCACACACACACACAGTCTGGCTAGGGTGAGCCTTCCTCAGAGAAGCCAAGATCACAGTGAGAAGTTGCTACTGGAGGATCCTTACTTAGGACCACCTGCTCATGCCTCACCCATGAGACTGCGAGAATTTCCCATCATGCTCTTCCCATCTTTGTCTCCACATATCTTGTCCCTGCTCTGTCACTGGGTCTAATTACTGTCTCGAGGCTGCTTCCCAGCTCCTACCTGTCCCTGCCAGTTTTTCCGCCCTTGTACCTCTATGATTTGCTTTGTCCCCAGGGTCCATCATGCTAGAAGCGGGCGGGTACTGGAAGTGTACACCACCCAGCCCGGGGTCCAGTTTTACACGGGCAACTTCCTGGATGGCACGCTGAAGGGCAAGAGTGGAGCAGTCTATCCCAAGCACTCCGGCTTCTGCCTGGAGACCCAGAGCTGGCCTGATGCAGTCAATCAGGTAAAGCTACAGGCCAGCCTCTCAGTGGTGTTGTGTCCAAGGTCACACTGTATGACAGAGGCCACAACCCTCAGGTCAGGTCTGTCTGACTCAAAAGTCCACATGTGTTCTCTTCTCCAAGTTGTGATAAACACAGGAAACCCAGAGCCAAGCTCCTAACATAGCATTTACTTTTTTTTTTTTTAATCTCCTCTATTTTGTGCCTTCGAAGCCTTTACTCAGTTTAACATTGCTTTTCTCAATCTTATCTTCTGCGACCACGCTTTTAAGATGGCTCTGTCTTCTCTTCCTATTTGCTTACTGGTAGCTTCTTTTTCTAGCCACTGCCTAGAAAAGTGCTCTTCAGAGCACCAGCTCAAAAGACTGTCTTGCAGTCTTGCCCCAGAATGTGAATCCACACAGCAAGGTCCTGCTATAGCACCATGTGCTCAGCAATGTAGTTGATTTTCATTCTGGCTCAAGTTCTTTATCTCACTGCAAACCAGTTACATTGGCAACTGGTTCTCAGAGCTGGCCTAGAGACCAGTCCAGAAGCCATCCTGAATGGTTGAGGGCACGACCCAGGCCGGCAAGGTGTAACCTGTATTGTTTTTCCCTTCACAGCCCCACTTCCCTCCTGTGCTGCTGAGGCCTGGTGAGGAGTATGACCACACCACTTGGTTCAAGTTTTCTGTCGCTTAAGGAAGTGTAAAGACCCCCAGGGCCAGGCTGGGGGCCCTTCAACAGCCTGTCTCCTGTCCAGAGAGAAGATTTAGAGGCTTTACAAGTGATCCTGTGAATCAAAATCATATAAAGGGTAGCTGCACAATAATTAGTCTGGATCTTGATTTCCTTTCCCAGTGACTGGCTACAGGTTCAGTCTATGACCAGCTCTGTCCTCTGTGTGGTTTAGGGGATCCAACCGCCAAGGTTCTCGCCTAAGCCCTGACCCTAACCCGGAAGGGACACCCACAGCCCCTTGCTGTGTTGGCCCCATCTCTCCACCCTTCTGCTTTCTTCTCTCCTTTTTGCCCCTTTTCTTTGATCCTACTCTCATTCCGTTTCTTTGTCCTCCTCCCCTACCCTAGGCCACCGCGTCCCTGCGCAGCAATTCAGAGCTCCCACAGACCTCTGATAAGGTGGTAGATGATCGAGGGTGAAGGAGCTGAGGCTTAGGGAGGGCAAATGACCCTCATAAAGGCACACAACCAGAAGTTTTAGCCAAGACGTGACATCAGGTATCCACATTCAAGCCCCCTCTTTGCTTCCATTTCAGTCTGCCAGAAATGGAAGACTGGTGGACCGCTGGTGGACATAGGGGGTTCTGACCTTTGTTAGGGCCAGCCTTTCTTCCCAGATTCATGCTTATGGGAAGCATTAGTCTGAGTCTGAGTTTAACTGTCTCTAAGGATATGACTTAAAGGGCCAGGTCAAAATATCCAGGAAGAAATCTGTAATTTTGATCTCTGCCTTTGGGGTAGAGAAAGCCCCAGCCCAGGCAAGGCGTGGGAAAGAAAGCAGGCCTCTGGAGACAAGAGCTGTGTTAGTGTGGAAAGAGAGCCTTACCTGAGGACTGACTGTAGAGTGCACCTGGCACAAGACGTTGGTGTTACATAGTTGAGCCTGGAGCTCCCCCGTTTCCTGAACAATTGAATCATCAGTGATGGGTTGGGGTTGGTGGTTGGTTTAGAGTTTTAAAGAAATCTATCTTCTATTATATGCTAGCAACCAGTTGAAATAAAACCAGAACTTGCACCTTCGGAAGACTCTCAGGGCCTTCGCTCATCTTTAAATCTGTCAGACACGGACCTTTGGGAAATTGACCAAGTGTTGGGTATGTTCCGGATTCCACTGTGCTCTTCCAGTATGAGCCCCAGCACCTTCCTAGAAGAAAGTCACCTAACTGGCCGCCTCCTGAGCTTCCCATACTTCCTTAGTAACAATAAACCAAAAGAAGCATTTATTTTTTTAAATGCATTTGAGCATGAATTTTCTGGATACCTACTGTGTATAGTTTTCTGCTGAGTCTTA